CAAAATTACTTTTATATTTAAGGTTAAATCATTTTGATTAGTATAAAGATTAATATAACAACTAATATTTGCCTTAGAACTCCCTAAAACCAATAATAAATAATAAATTTGTTAATCAAATTCTTTCAATTATTATCTCTTTGAAAACTCATTTTTCAAATTGTAAAAAATCTACAATGAAAAAAAATTGATTTTGATACAAAATCTACAGTTCCCATTACTCTCAGTAACTATTCTTCGAAATCGTCTAAACGACTGTATCCTCTCTTTTAAGTCTAAAGCATTATCTAATATGCTTAAATAATCAAAATATTTAATCATTTTAGATTGCTGGTTTAATATAATGAGAGATTCTTTTATAAAAATCAATTATTGTTTTATTAATAAGGAATAAGATATAGAATATATTCTAATCGATTTCGAATCTGTTTACGAATCTTATACTAATCAGCATCTTGGAGATATCCTATTAAGTATTCTTCAGAAATTCAATATTCTTGATCAGATACAATCAATAATTATTGATAATGCTTTGAACAATACAACTTTAATTGTTTGAATCAATAAGATAATCCAATCTCCAGAGTTTCTCTACTTATTCTTTAATTGCGAAATATTATAGATACCTTGTTTAGCTTATTATCTTCAAATAAGTTTGAATAGATTTCTTTCCACTCTTCGAACTACTCCCACCAATGATAAACTTCAACAGAACTGGGAAAAAACAACAAAAAAAGAGATTATATCATTGAATACTGGGAAAGGGATCTAATAGATTTTGATTAAAGTAAATACACAAATCCTACTTCTTTATACTAATCTTTATACTAATTATCAACAAATACATTGAGAAGCAATTAAAATCAATACTAGTTCAACTCATTATAAAAAGTTCAATTCCTTTTAAGCACTTCAATCTGGAAAGAAATCTTTATAATTAATCCAAGACATTGCAATTAGATGGAATTCGACTTTCTTGATGTTTATTCAAATATTACTTTTACGATATACTTATAATCGCTATATCACTTCTTAATCTGATATATTAAAATTCGGTTTAGATAACAGTGAATAGAAGCAATGTAGGTACTTTATTGATATTACTTTATTATTCTATTTTTTAATGAATACTATTAATATAATCAAGAATACTACTACTCCATTTGCATTCCGGGTATACAAAGAGCTTTTTGAAAGACTTAAAGAATGTAATCAACAACTTCGAGGTTTAGAGTTTGATTGGATTGATTTATTGCGAAAAGATATTCAAATAGCAATAAGAAAACTAACAAAATACTATCAAAAGACTTTTGAAGTATATTATAGTATTTTAGCATTTGTTACAATCTGGTATCCAATATTCAAATTATCCTTATTCCAAAAGGAATATTCTTGGATTGAAAATATAGTAGATTAGAAAATCGAATTTCGATAATGGTTTATAGAGTTTTTTGAAAAGAATTACAACATTTCCATTTATTCCCCCCTTATCCCTGGTTGTTATAATCAATTTGTGGCATATTTGGAGCTTTACAATATTCAAGGAAATAATCTTTAGTAATCTGACTTGAAAGTTGATCGTTATCTTGGAATTAGTAAGATTTTCTTATACTAATCATTATACTAATCCATTTATACTTACTAATATATCCATTTAGGGATTACTTTAGAAAATGCCTTATCTTTTTGGAAAAGGAATAATATATTATTCTCTAGTCTTGCATAAATGACATAAGATATTCTTTATATATCTTTAACTGGAACTTCTATCGAAAAAGTATTTAGTCTTAGTTGAGATGTATATAGTTATTGTTAGAGTTATTTGGATTATGAGATTATTTGTAATTTGATACTATTTTTATGCGATCTAAAGTATGAAGTAGATAAACAAGAATTGATTGTTATAGAGTTTGCTTATGCTCTTGTAACAAATGAGCTTTCGGATAATGAGATCCAAGAGGAATGGGATAATCGGAGAGTAATGATAGAGGCTAAACTGGATTTTCAGTATCTTCCTGATATAGTTTCTGATCCATTAAGGATCCTTGAAAGAATACAATGAAATAAGAAATGTAACGAAAAATGTATCCGAAAATGTTCTCGATTTATATCGCAATCTGTTTCATTAGATAATCCTTATCCTCGTTCTTATACCAGAACATTATTCCCTTGTCCTTATTATCGCACCAGATTATTATCTCCTAGTTCTTCTGAATCATTATCTAATATTCAATCTATTCAATAAGAATCGCAATCCTTTTCGGAAGTATTATATATACCAGAAACTCTTTCTCATTCAATAGCTAATTGTTATATACAAAAGGATAAGAAGAATTATAAGTTACTAAAAGAGGCTCGAAATCATTAAACAATAGAATAAGATTGTCAAAATGTAGCTAGATTATAAAGAGAATAATTTTTGGGAGATAAAAGAGTTTTAGAACAAGAATAATCATCAATCAAATATAATTCAAAATAATGACTTTTATACTGATTTTTATATTAATCCCAAATATGAGATTGTATAAAATGTTATTCTTATAAATCAATTACATATCTCAAAGTGATCCACTAACTCATAGATTATCCATGGATTATCTGCAGATAACCCACCAATCTACAAATAACCTACGAATAACCTACCA